TTTCCAGTTCATTGTATTTTTCTATTCCCATATCAGTGTATGTTTCTTCGTCCATATATAGCAGCATTACTTTTGCTAAATCTAGGACTAAATCTAGAATTCACCAATTATACTTGAAGGACCGATTGGTCACAATTTCTTACCATTCGTGACCGTTTTGCTCACGGGAATCACGGCTGCGGCATGCAGCCGAAACGAGCACCGAATCAATTTGCAAGCACTGCATTTAAAGTTCATTTATTAGACAATGGCGCCGAAGGGGAAGCTAAGAGATTCCTTGGACTGTTTTGAATGTTCTCATACATGAGAGGCCAGGAAGCGGCCAGGATAGAATTCTTGAGTGACATTGACTGTCCTCTAACGCCTCGATGCGTAAAGCAGACTGACAGACCTTGAACGGCACAAGTTCGAACGGCTAATCCGAATTCAAGTCAATTTCTCCTCTGAAAAGAGCTACCTCCCGCAAAGTGGAAGCTTTCAGCGTTTTTGGAATCAGTACCCATGGATCCCGTCACTGCGGGTCTGACGGTTTCCACGTGGCGCAGGCAGGAGAGCATTGAAAGGGAAAGGAAAGGAAAGGAAAGCACGTGTGAGGAGGGAGAGGAAGCGAGGAATCGAAGAGGCGCATGCGTGACCTTCAAAGACTGGCTCGACGACTAGTGGATTGAAGTAGGCTTGGCCTCCCGTGCTGTTGGATCGCTGCCCGGGTCTCAGTCCTGCTTCTTCCTCTTCTTGCGGCAGGTTCTACTCGCGCTGGGACTCGACGAACCCCTCTGACCCCGTTTTGTCTCTGCGGTAGTTCACAAGTGTGTGACGAGAAAAGAGAGGAAAGATGTCGGCCATACCCCAAAGCGATCACGATCGGAGGAAGCAGATCAGCGTCCGGGGAATCGCCGAATTCCATAATGTGGCCGAGGTGATGAAGACGTTCAACCGGCATCTCCACTTCACCCTCGTCAAGGACAGGAACGTTGCTACGCCCAGGGACTACTACTTCGCCTTGGCTCACACCGTCCGGGATCACCTCACGGGAAGATGGATCCGAACCCAGCAGAGCTGGTACAACAAGGACCCCAAGGTGTGTTCCCGGGAGTCCTTAACGAGTCTAAGCCTAATTTCCATGCCTATATCCACGTGCCGCCGATGGTACGGCCATGCCCAAAGCCGAGCTGCGATCGATGAGGGAAGAGAGCGGAGCAAGAGAAGGCGCGGATGATACTGGGGCCTTGTGTTACCACGCCGGCCTCCCGCGCCCTCCTTAGAGATGGAATCGATATCATACCGGCTTTCGCTGTTTTTGTATGGGGACTGGGAAGTTGGCTGAAAACTGCAAAGTAAATTTTTCGAAATGGGAACGAGATGTGGAAAGTCTAGTTTGCGTAACTTTCTGCCCCGGGAACGACAGGCAATCCTTTTAGATTTCTCTATGTGGCAACGTCTCATTAATTCAGACACGCGATGCTTGAGGGTTACTCACCCAAACTCTCCTTCGGGCGTGACATGGCATGTTTGCCATGATCATCAGATGCAGTGTATGCCAGATTAAATATCGCCGTTCATGAGTCAACATGGCTTTCTTCATTCCCTTTTAGAGGATCTACTATTTGTCCTTGGAGTATTACATGGGCCGGTCTCTGACGAACACCATGATCAACTTGGGGATCCAGAGCGAATGTGATGAAGCTCTGTATCAGGTAAAACTCTCACTTTCTCCTGTGAGAGATCCTCGAGGGAAACTGCAGCATTTTAAAGTCCTTGTCTTTTTTTTTGTTGTTGGTCAGCTTGGCCTTGATATAGAGGAATTGGAAGAACTGGAGGAAGATGCAGGACTGGGCAATGGAGGATTGGGTCGACTGGCTGCCTGTTTCTTGGATTCCATGGCCACTGTTGGGCTTGCTGCCTATGGTTATGGTATTCGATATGAGTATGGCATCTTTGCTCAGAGGATCAAGAATGGGGAACAGGTATCCACCCATAAGCTTCTCTGAGAACATCTTTTTATATCAAACATTTCCAGATTTTTTCTGGATTCCTGGAACTGAAGATCTCAATTGAGATGTTAGATGAGAGCAGGAAGAGCCAGTAAACTTGAATATTTGAAATTTGCTTGGTTGGACTTTTGCCAGTAAACAATTCTGGGCTTGTAAAGGTGCTCTTAATTACTTGTTCTTCATCCAAGATTGAGAGGCATAGTGTTTTTTTTAACTTCACTTTAATTTTGTTAGAACATTTGAAAATCATGATTCTGACATTCAAGTGATCATGGTCCATAAATTAATAGATTACATTGGAATTGCAATATTTTCTTCCTACGAATTGCAGAGACATTGGAGGACATCAGATCCATGATTAACCCTGTAACTACTGTCATGGGTCCAGCAGACCCTGATGGAAAAATTTAGTCATTTGTGTAGGATGTGCCATTAACTTAGAAAAGCATCATACTTTGTGTATTTTCATGAAGACATGATAGTAATTAGGTAAAGTATTTTGAAGAGATTCTTTAGGAATGAAGAGATGAAGTAAAGAGTTAAACATATTACCATTAGGGTTCTGGTAATTACAGGGCTAATCTTGACCCAGATTTTCTGTTTGCTCAAGTACAGATCATTTAAGTCTCAATGGTCCACCCAGTAAGTGAGGCTTTCCTAATCCTGAGACTTTCATTTCATCCCGAGAGTATATATCCTATGATTGGATGAAAGGTAGAGGAACCTGATGATTGGCTTCGGTTTGGATGCCCATGGGAAAGGCCTCGGCCTGAGTACTGTCTTCCTGTCAATTTCTATGGCCGAGTCATCAAAACTGACGCTGGACGCCAGAAATGGATTGATACCAAGGTAGTGAGATGCATCAAATTTGGGTGGCTTGCTGTCTGCATCACCTATAATAAATAGTGCACTTCCATCCTGTGAAGTGCATCAATAATGGTTTTTGTAACTGGCCCTTGTTTATGCTCTTCACCTGGCGGCTGTCCTCTCACGGGTGCTTCTCTTCCTTTCCCTCTCCCTTTGTTTCCCTCTCTTATCACTGTGTGGTATGGTATTGCCCTGGCAGATTGAAGAACCTGATGATTGGTTGAGATATGGTTCTCCCTGGGAGAAAGCTCGACCCGAGTTTGCTCTTCCTGTCAATTTCTACGGGAGAGTGGAAGAGACCCCAAAAGGGAAGAAATGGGTCGACACCCAGGTCAGGCAAAAATAAATTCAATTAAAACTGCCTTGGCAAACATTCATCTTGTTTCAGTTTATTGATCATCTGCACATTGAAAACAGTCTCACTCAGCATTCAGAGGCATTAGTCCTCGAGGGAGAAATATTTCACCTCTCACTTCAGTACTTTTTTTTTCCTTCCTGTAGATAGTTCCTGTGACCTTTCTGAATGTTATGAATATGTCTAATTTTGATCCAAGGTGTGGAATGAGTTATGCATGCTGAAAATTACTTTCTTGTCCCATTGCATGTTGCATGATGCAATAGACCACCAAGAATGCTTGTGTAGCCTGAGAAAGCTTGGAGCTTCTGCTCATTCAATGAGTGTTGTTCCTTGAGTCGTCCCATGCAGCTTGTAATCTGGGAAAAAATATGTTTTTGGATGTGAAAACTGCCAATATACATTTTTTTTTAGCAACAGTAAGTAGTTTATTAAGCTCTCCCCTTTATGTAATTATGGAAAGAATGGGAGTATCCCTTGAAGAGTTTGAGATTTTGGTTGAAGATATCTTGAAATAGGCTAGGACAGTAGACCAATTAAATGCAGTGTTCATGTAGATCTTCAAGGAATGGGTGAGGGTAAGATTATGGAATGTCAAGAGAATAGAATTTATTGAGACCATTGTACTAAAGTTGAGAGGAGCATTATTTCTTAAGGCAGTTCTGTTCTTGATGTGAAGTAAGAAAACATTCATATGGTTTTGTGATGTCCAAATCAAGTACAGCTCTATCATGTCATTCCTGCTATGCCTTAGATTGTGTTTGCTATGCCATATGACAACCCAATACCTGGGTTCAAGAATAACGTGGTGAATACGTTGCGGTTGTGGGCAGCCAAGTCACCTGTAAGCTTCAATCTCCGATTCTGTGAGTCCTTTGCACCTTCCATTTTTCATATGCCTCACTTGTTCACTTGTAATTAAAGCTTTCAATTTCTTCTATTGGCAGTCAATGATGGAGACTACATCCAGGCAGTCCTGGATCGGACATTTGCCGAGAACATCTCCAAAGTCCTGTATCCCAATGACAACTTCTTTGAAGGCAAGGAGTTGAGACTGAAGCAGGAGTACTTCATGGTTGCTGCTACCCTGCAGGTATGAGTTGGGCTTGTGGAAGACCATGTATTGCTATTTTACATGTAATTGCTAAATACCATTGGCTCATTAAGGTCACTTCCTAGAAATATTAACATATGTTTTCCTGGATACCAACACAAAGAATTCCAGTTTCTGCTTCTCAAAATTTGTCACTTTCTAGGTTTCAGTAAATTTTCATTACCATCGGTTCTCTGACAGCAATCTTTGTTCCATGTAACATCCTCAATTTCTTTGGGATCTGATAGGACATTGTGAGGCGCTTCAAGGCTTCCAAGTTTGGAAGCCGAGATGCAGTGCGCACCAACTTTGACATCTTCCCAGACAAGGTGGCAATTCAATTGAATGACACCCACCCATCCCTGGCCATTCCTGAGTTGATGAGGATCTTGGTCGATATTGAGGGCTTATCATGGGACAAGGTAAGTACATTTCAATATCTTCACCTCACAAAGAGATGAGTTATTAACCTCATATCTGCTTAAAAGGCATGGGATGTGACAACACGCACTTGTGCCTATACAAATCACACGGTGTTGCCAGAGGCATTGGAAAGGTGGCCATGTTCCATGCTGGACTACCTGCTTCCTCGGCACCTTCAGATCATCTACGAGATCAACATGCAACATCTGCAGGTATTCTTTCCTTCTTCATCCATGATTTTTCCCTTCTATCTTGATTGAATTTTAGTTGAGAAGTCGGTGAAACCAGTTATGCAAGTCACTGGGTCATGTATAGGTTGAATCTTGATTTATTCGCATTGCTTTGATGTCACCATCTGTCACTATCTCATGCTTTATGCATGCTGTGAATGATTCTGCAAAGCGGATATTCCACCTAGATGATGGACTAGTCCATAGTAGTGATATCCATGCATGTGTCCTTGCCAGTCAAGGTTGTGTTGCTGGTCAAAGCAACAGGGAAATTCATTGAATTGAAGGACATATTTCAGAATTTATGAAATCTGGAGAGCTTGCTCATATTCTGGTCCAGGATCATACTTATGAATTCATGGATGCTGGCAAACAAATAAGTGACGTGTCTGTCTTGTGAGAGATTGAATCAAACATTGGAGACTTAAGGCTTTCTTGCTGAAAAAAGAAAAAATAGCCTACCTGAGTGTGGATGTTGGGTCATCTTGTTGAGTTTGATGCCAAACTTTTTTTTACTAAATATTTTTACATTATTGGAAAATCATTTAAATGTGAAACCTAGCCATGAAGAAATGAGCTTATCTTGCCAGATATGAAGTTAATGCAGTTTGCCTATTTTAAAGTTATGTGAAACAGTTGAAAGGCTGGATCAGCTTCATAGTATTTTGTATTGCTGTAATAATTGGTACCTCAGTATGTGAATATAATTTTTCATTAGTATTGCTGCTTGGTCAAAGATTTAAATTGTTCCTTGTACATGATAACTGAAGGCAGTGGAGAAGAAGTGGCCCGGGGATTGGGATCGGATGCGTCGTATGAGCCTGGTAGAGGAATATGGTGAGAAACGAATCAACATGGCTCATCTATGCATTGTGGGATCTCATGCTGTCAATGGTGTGGCTGCTCTCCATTCTGACATCCTCAAGAAGGAAGTGTATGTGTGTGTTCTACCCTTCTACCTTGGCATCACCCTAGATTCCACCATGTCTTGTAGGGATCCAGAGCTTCAAGGCTGTTGGCACTTGATTTGACATTAAACAGCTGGTGGTAGACTATGCTAACAAGTTTATCAGATACAAAGCACATGTGGACTGGTCGAATTGTATTGTTGGAATTTTTACATCCTATGGGCTCATTCATAAAAGATGAAAGGACAGTGAATAATGGAAATTAATGCTCAAGCAAACTGACTGTTGGAGGCTGAAGCACTGGTTTCCTGAAGAAGTCTTGTACTGGTCTGAGTTTAACTTGGGCATTTCTTATGTTGAGCAGATATTGCTGCAAAGCCTCCTGAGACATATTGAGAACTTCAGGGAAAACCTTGTATGCTTTGAAGCAAATACCACATAAAATGGTTGTTAGGAGTTCAGAAAGGTTGAAGAAACTGGGAGAAACCCAGGACCTTATTTCAACAGATATAGAATGATGATTTTACTGTTATATTGTAGGAAAAAATTTGTAAAACCTTGATTTTTATGTAATTATTTGTGTTGCCCTAGTAGGAGAAATAATTGTGACAGTATTTGATGTGGTTTCCAGCCCACCTTCTCAACAGCCTGAATATGATTAAGGTAGAATTTCAAGATTGCCTCAAGCATCATGGTGTTAAGTTCTCCCAGAACTAGGCACCTTATTGGACCATTCATAACAGGCGCAGGGTAATTTGTTGCTCTGTTTGCATCATTTCACTGAGCAGATCTTCATGGTTTCGCAGTCAATCTCACTGCAATAAAATTGCTCTTTGATTTACAAGTGCTTGAAGCTAGGGCACCTTATGAAAGTAAGGGACTACCCAAAAAGGGATCTGTTGAGGCTGTTGTACAAGAAAGTGGAAAATGTCAAATTCTGTCATTTATTATTTATGTAACCTTGTAAGGGAAAATGATGTGGAAAGACTTGAACTGTGCCCTTTTAATTTTGCTTCCAATATAGGGGTCAAGTCATTGTTACCCCCTGTAGATGCCTTCAGCAACACCTGACTAATCTGGTTTGGTCTTTTAACTCAACTTTAGCTTGTCCTTTTAAGTGAGGCTTAAGAAACCCCAAGGCAGTTTAATTGCTCTTTAATTGACACTATTAGAAATTAAAGTTTTTGCACCTCTGAGTTTTGAGTGGCCCATTCAGGATGGTATATCACAGGTATTCTTAATCATACTTCTTCTCACAAGAGACAGTGTCACCCTTATGTTAAAGAAAAAAAAATTATTTTCTTTGATATATAAGCCTGGAGGAAAAAAATTGTCATTTGAATGTTTGAAGTCAACTGATAGGATCAAATGCCCCTGCAGATAATGTTGATGACAGAAAGAGTGCATGATCATGTGGACCACAGCCTGGATGCTATTCTTGCATTTAATTCTGGGATGGTGATATATAAATATCATTTAATTACAATTAAGCACATTGTGCTATTTTTATGATTGCTTTTCACTGGGACAAGATGGTAATGCTTGAGGGACTGAAGAATCATAGTAGTGGTTGATTAAGAAAAAAAAAAAGAATCTATGGTTAACCACCAGGTTGTGAAATTGATTTCTTTACAGTTTCAAGGACTTCTATGAGATGATGCCAGAGAAGTTTCAGAACAAGACCAATGGAATCACACCTCGACGGTGGCTTTTGCTCTGCAATCCTGGCCTGTCTGATGTTATTGCTGAGGTATACATCCTGTTGCTTCATTGATGTCTATTTCAAGTAGCCTCATTGTGGTTTTACATGGGTCTTTCTGGATAGAAAATTGGGGAGAACTGGATTGTGCACTTGGAGGAACTGGCCAAACTGAAGCAATTCGCCAAGGATCCTGGATTTATGCGGGCTGTACAGACTGTGAAAGCAGAGAACAAGATGCGTCTGGCCACCCTCCTTAATGAGGAATATGGGATTCAGATTAATGCAGCCTCCATGTTTGATATCCAAGTATGTGCTAGTCAGATTCTTATGTTATACCTATAGCCCTAAAATGTGTCAAACAATTTTTCAAACTGGAATTGGAGTGCCTTGTTTTTGTTTTTAGGTGAAACGCATCCATGAGTACAAACGACAGCTCTTGAATTGCCTCCACATCATCACACTTTACAACCGCATCAAGCGCAACCCCACGGCCCCATTCGTCCCTCGCACCATCATGATTGGTGGCAAGGCATGACAAAGAAAATCCTTCAAGTTTCATGCATTTCATTTGTTTGTGAAATCTCAAGGAATTTTTTTTTGATAATAGGCTGCCCCAGGTTACCACATGGCCAAGAAGATCATCAAGCTGATTTGTGCTGTGGGGCATGTGATCAATAGTGACCCAATTGTAGGGGACAAGCTCAAGGTGATCTACCTGGAAAACTACCGTGTCACCTTGGCCGAGAAGATCATCCCAGCAGCAGACCTCAGTGAACAGATTTCCACTGCTGGGACAGAGGCTTCAGGAACAGGCAATATGAAGTTCATGGTAATCCTGTCTCTCTTGTTCCTTTGACAGTAATCACTAGTGTTCCCCAGTTCCACAATGTCTGAACTTTAAAACATTTCAGTTGAATGGAGCTTTAACCATTGGAACGCTGGATGGTGCTAATGTGGAAATGATGGAGGAGATGGGACGCGAGAACATATTCATTTTTGGCATGACTGTGGATGAGGTAGGAATATTGAAGATGAAGCAGGAAAAAATTATTTTAAAGAATGTTTAATCCTGTTGAAGCAAAAGGTCCATAATTCCTGAAATAGGTGGAGGATTTGAAGAGGCGCGGATACAATGCCTGGGACTACTACAACAGGAACCCAGAGCTGAAGCAGTGCATTGATCAGATCCAGGGAGGATTTTTCTCTCCTGGCAATCCAGATGAGTTCAAGGATATTGCCAACATGCTCATGCATCATGACAGGTAAGTTACATGAAAGGCTGGAAAAATATTGCAGCAGGGGTTAAGGTTCCTTGAAGTCAATTTGTGAGGAAATTGGAAGACATTTTCTTGGTTCGTAATTCTGTTTGTGTAATGTTTGTTTTTCTAACTGAAGTGTATCTTCTCTCATGCTGTGCCTTCAGTATGTACATGTTTTCACAAAAGAATGTAAGGTATTGAAATAAGTATATTTTGCAAGCAATTTCCTCCATGAACTTTGCAGAGTACTCCTTTCCATCCTCTTTAAATTACCAACAAAAGTTTCTGTGAGCTACAACAACCATGCCATAATTGTTTTTGTGAGCCTATTATTTGGGGATTTTCTGCACTCTGTAGCCTTGAGGTGTTACAGATGAAAATATTATTTTCATCTGTAATAGTGGTTGATGCAGACCATGCTACATTCAGTTTCAGAATACTTGTTACTGACTCTTGAGTCTCCATTGGTGTAGAGAGACAACAAATAAAGCTTCATAGACATTTCAATCAGTGTTAATGGTTTATTGTGTACTTTCAAAGGTGTCCCATGTCATAGTTTATTACTGCATGAAATCAGCATTAATATGTGAAGCATGCTGATCTTTACTGTTGTTTGCAGGACACCATGTACATGTACTCTCATGTGCCAATTCTGATTGAATTTTCACTTTTCTGCTTGCAGATTCCTCCTATTTGCTGACTTTGATTCCTATATCAAGTGCCAGGAGGCAGTATCTGCTCTCTATTTGGTAAGTCTTCTGATATGACAGAAGTCTGAAACTACTCAGTATTTCTTTGTCATCTATGAGAACCACAACCGATTTTGAGTTATGGGTGTTTGTGAATGTTCACATTCCACTTCACAGAACCAGGCAGAATGGACAAGCAAGGCGATCATGAACATTGCATCGTCTGGGAAGTTCTCGAGCGACCGCACCATCTCGGAGTATGCCCGGCAGATCTGGGGGGTGGAGCCGTGTTGGGATAAACTCCCAGACCCTAGCGAATCTGCTCCCCTTGATGTGAAAAAATGAGCTTCCTGTGTTTCTCCATTTTCACTGCCTTTTATCTCTTTCTTGCTGTTTCTGGTTCTCCTGGCACTTATGGAGTTTTGGTTCCTTTTGGTTTTTGTTTGTATGTCGGATCAGAATCATGGCTCCTTGGTGCTTCTGTGTGCAATAGCAGTATGTTATGTTTTTAAGTCAGTTTTTGATTAACAGTCCAGTTTCCAAACAATTGATGAACTTTTTTTAGCAAATATTTTTTGGTGTTGCAGTCTGCAGCACGATAATCGACCGAGACTCTCAGTTGAAGTCATCAATGAAACCAGTGCATCAAGTGCAATATTTTATAGATTGTATTTTTTCCTGCATGAATATATCAGAGTATCTCTTTGTTCAATGGTTTATGCACAGGATGTATACCTGTCGCCTGATCCTGCTGATACTGGGATTCTAAGATGGAGAAATGTTGTTACTTAGTGCCACCACGGATCTGTCTAAACGAAGATCTGGTCTGTTACTGTATGAGAAGTCAATGTAGTGTAGTGGAGATGTAGAACTTCTTTAGTCCCTCCTCTCATCTCCCATTGTAATTTCCTTTTGCAATAAACTTGATTTGAATCTTGCTGTGGCTGCAGTTCGCCCAGAAGTTCTTTGTGCTTTTTTTTGTTTTAGGACATTTCAATGTACAGTTTTAAACCACCAGTGTAGCAAAGAAAAAGGCAAAATGGGCTCTTGACACTCCTAGTAGCTTCTCAAGCCACGAGACTTAGAGTTGTGACCCGTGTCAAAGCTGAAGGTACCCACTAGAGCTTCGTGGTCTTGAGCATTGTAGAGTACCTCTAGCAGGCATTCTCATGAGTGGATGCATCAGATCTTCAAGAGAAATCCTTCCTGGGTCCTGTCGTTACAATATGACCCAACACTAGGAAAGGATTGCCTGTCGTTAGTCGTTATTGCAGGTCCTACGGAAATCCGTTGTGCTTAAGTGGGGAAAGTATCAGTTGCCAACAGATCTTCCACTTCTCTCCCACCAAATACTGTTGGCAGTTCTACTGCGAGTGTCCCTCTCCAGCTCCATATTCCCTTTCATTTTTATCGCCCATAATGGATGGCCAGTACGGAACACATTAATTGGCTCTGGTGCATGAAAAAGCCAGCGGCCACATGATCCCCATGAAGGGAAGTCCAAGCACGTCTTCCTCTTACACTTCCCGGAATTCGATACTTTCTATGTTGAGGCAGGGGCGGACTGGCCATCTGGCAAATGGCAGAAGGGCCGGCGGGCCGGTCCTCATGTACCCTATTAGTCTTATGCAACGAAATTTACAAGTGAACATCCTGGAGCCGCTACTACGTTTTCTGGGAACCAGCTCTACATCTTTTCAATAGCGTCGCCACCCCCGCAGTGCGATTCCACGGCTCTTTGCAGTTGAGAGTTGACGCCCCCCAACTACACCAACAATTAGGTAGGTCTAATTATTGCCTAGTAGTTTGTTTCAGTTTTATAAATCACAGCCTCAATGAGGGCCGGTGTGAGTAAAAATGCCAGGGCCGATTTTTAGTCCCAGTCCGCCCCTGTGTTGAGGTCAGTAAGTGGGTTGGTAACCTGTCGTTTATATGATTGGGGCGCCTTTTGGAAAGCTTTTCTCGGCGGAAGTTCCGCCGGTCGATCCCCTGATACCGACTTCGATAGTGAAAATACAAAACTGGAACGGACCGACCGATCGCTCGAAATTCGTAGATGTAGATCTCGACTCTCGCATGCCCCAGTGAAAATAGACGAAAGGATTTTGGAAACCTTATCGTCGCTGTTCGATTCATCGCATCGCCCTCCCATCTCACTTCGCTTTCGTTCGTTTTTCCGTATCGCCTTTCTAGGAACCACGATCATGTGCATGTTTGCCACGGAAAGGCCACAAGTCCCACCGCAACAAGGCAGTTCCAAAGTTACCGACGTAATTCCGGACTAAACATGCATGATGGATAAAGATGGATCGGTCCAGAAATTCCACTTCGACAGTGCCTTATAGAGCATAGATACCTGTACCCATTCCGATCAAAATTGTCTCACTTCTTTCATAGATGAAAAAAGGAAAAGACCGTTCATGTCGTGTTACTGACGTAACGCAGTTTAGACAACGGTTTTCGTTCTGCTGCTTCCCTTTCGATTTTATCTGATTTGGCTCGACCTGAAGCTTCTGTATTTTCAGAAGTCATAGACCATCACCTTTCTTCATGCCAAATGACATTTCTTGTTGCTCAAAAATGAATTGACCAGGAGAGTTTTTCTGCGTTACTACGCATTAGTCAAAAATCGAGATTCACCAAGAGTGTCAAATTCATCAAAATGGAATGGTGCAGGAATAATGGGATACCATCCCACTTCAGGTGATGAATGTTTAATTGAGCTTATTTGGTCCAAGTTTGGTACCCATACAAGCACATGAAGCGTGTGTTGGATGCCAGTTTTGATAATAAATTGTTTACCGCTTTTGTCCCAAATTATTCTGGAACAGCCCCACATGCAGCCAAATTAGGGGCCTTTTACGTCTCTCTATAGAACGCTACGTGAAGTCCACGCGACTCGTGATTGCTTTCGCTCGATCCGAGCTCGAGAACGGGAACGAACCGATCGAGTTCCGAATCTTAATCGAGTGCCTCCTTCACGAGAGGCACTGGAAACTCCCCAACTGGAAATTTATTGCATGGGTGGCGAAGATGCGGCGGATGTCCCTTTCTCGCCACTCAAATACCCCAAATTCAATTTTGTAAGGCTTCTCACGATGACCGATGAAAATGTTTCCCGCCTAGCCCGGAGGAACGACCAGCTGCTCGGAAGGTTCCGAATGGAACCCAACGGAGACCTTCACATCTCACTCGGTGCCACCTCGAGGCACTGCGACGGCCTTGAGAGTGGGGGGGGGGGGGGGGGAAAGGGGGAAGGGGATGACATCCAACGAGATACGAAGCGGGTTCAAACCGACTCGAGCCCTCCTCCCGCCGCATCTTCAAGGTCTTCCCTCTCGACCCCTTTCGTTCGCTCTTTTGTAAGAAACTCGTTTCGGGGATTCGATTGTGGCGCGTTAGTGGCGGCGTAGTTTGAAATTGCGCTGCATTCAGATTCTCGTTGAAGTTGCACTGCGTTCGAAGCGTCATCGTTCGAAGTTCTGTTGCATCGAGTCAGACACGCGAACATGGCCAACACCCTTGTCTTCTACGTCAACGGAAACAGAGTGAGTTCGACTCGCTTGAGCTTCGTTCGATCGAAACGAGTGTCGTGAGAATTAAATTTTTTTGTCACCTGCCGTGCATAGGTCGAGGACGACGATTTCGATCCTGAACTTAATCTTCTAGAGTACCTCAGAAAGAAGTGTATCCTTTTGAAAGAGGATTTCTCCCTCTCCTAATTTTCGTCGAGCCAATCCACCCCCTCCCATTCCCGTTCGAAGCATTTTATCGCCGTGGAATTCTGGGACACGCCAATCGACTCGATCGCTTTCGTGGTTGCACGATGCACGTATCCCCGTCCACTCCCGAATGGCATCACGTGCTCTTCTGAATAATGTTCTCGGTCGACGTATAGTTGTTCGGAAAATTTAGTTGAGATGGCGCAAGTGTGCGGCTTCAGTGCCACACCCCCCGCCGTAGATGCACTAGCGCCATCACTTGTCCTTAAGAGAGATAGACGCTAGTGTGTACTATTGGATTACATCCTTAGACGAGTTGTAGTATCTGTAGTTGTAATATAGAAAAGCAGTTCCTGAAGCGCATCTAATGGAAAATTGAAGGTCAGACGGGAACTTTCGCTCGGGTCAATTCAGTGTGTTGCTTGCACTTCTAGCAGATCACTTGATGGCATTCCCACCCCATTCACGCCCCTTCGTGACGCATGGTCCTGTCGGCAGAGGATTTTTCCCTGGAGCAAAGAATCACCCGTAACCAATGCTTGTCGCATAGAGAACGAGAAAACTCTATTTTATTTTCCATTCGAGCCTCCTGGGAATTTTCGTCGCTTTTCCCCCCGAATCTCTTCTATTCTCAAACGAATTAAAGTACGAGTAGCTTCCACCACTTTAATTCTTTTTTTGAATTGAGTGTGTTTCCTGCCCCCCCCCCCCTGCCCCCCTCGCATTTCACGCGACGACATCCGAGTCCTTTCCGGTTTCGATGTCCCGCATTGTGTTTGTCCTTGACATTCCTCCCGCATTGGGACACGGCAGTGGGGCTCCGAGGCACGAAGCTGGTATGCGGGGAAGGTGGATGCGGCGCCTGCACCGTCATGCTCTCCAGATTCCGTCGTTCCACCGGATCCGTCAGGTCGTTTCTCGCATTCCCTTTTCCATCGAAACGGCATATTTACGGCTGCAGATCGTCCGGATCGTTCCGGAATGGAAGCCGGTCGAGCGGGTCCCATCCGGCCTCGATTCCCTCGTGCCGCGACCACCTCGACTCCGAGTCGAACGGGTGTCGAAGCAAACACTCATGCGCTTCACACAGACGTACAATGACGTGAGAGAAATGTGGCGGAATCCAAAACCGACGAGGCATCCGCCGGTAAGCAGAGTGCTCCGGGGGTTCCGTGCGACCAGTCCCACCGCAACGTTTTCATACTTTTTTGCTGTGATTTTTACACTTTACATTAGAACTTATCCTCTCGCTCTCTCTCTCTCCTTCTTGAAGGGACATTGATTTCGGTCATGGGGTAGGTGAGACAAATTCCGACCTTGTTATAAAGTCCGTCCTCCACGTCACATAAGTCAACGCCATGAATCCCGAATCCATACATTTGGAAACGTAGGCGGATTTGAAGCTGAAGGCGGCAGGAATTCGCATCACTCACTCCACATACAACGTGCAAGCCATTCCGCGCTATTGAATCCACGAGGAGTGAGGAGCGAAGGGTCAACCGATGACAGTCGCAATCGCAAATGACAGTCAAAATGACAATCATGACAGTCAACGGCGCACACGCCCAAAAAGGTTTTGCTTGCTCCAGATTGGCCAGCAGCCTCGTGCCGTGAGTGCGCGCCGGATCGAACCCGACTTTTAAACTTCGTAGCTTTCAACGATGCGGATAGCGAGGGAAAAACTGCTTACTGCGCACTTTCTTCCGGATCAACGAAAAGCGAATATGTTTTACCTGCTCGGGACGGGAGGGGGGGGGGGGGGGGGGGACCCGGGCCCACAGCTGGGCTGTAAACACATCATTGGATGTGTCACATTAGATGTCCTGGATAATCTCTCTCCCTCTCTCTCTCTCTTTCTCTTTAGATTTGGTCTTGAACTAACTGATTCAGTCCTGCGGCGGGAATGCAAATATTTACTTAACACCTTGCTTACCATGGTCGTGCGGTAAACAAAGTGCAGGAATAGATTCTTTTGGATCGGATGAGGATCGCTTTCGCGGACCTGAAAACTTTAATGGTATCTGCGACAGGAAAAAATGAAATTGTCATTAATAAATTAAGACAATGAATAAATAAGCAATACTGATATATCATTCCAACGTACAACTAACATCAGCATTCACTTGCTTATGGTGATTTAGGATTTTAAAGATTAAAGGTTTTCCCGTGTGGTGAAAGACCGAGTGGCGGTTGTTTTTCTATTTTCAATTTAAATTGTCAAAATGTAGTCATAAACGGTGTGCGAAATATGCTATGTCCAGACTTTGCGATGAGGAAAATACGAAAGTAAGATGCTCAGATTTTGTCCACCATCTTTCGTTCTTATGATACTATTGGGAAGTTTCTGTCTCCAAGATGCATTGTCGTATGAGCGGTAAAAGTTGAAAGGGAGTCCTTTTACTCGGTTCTGTTTCCTCTGGCTCCGCCCCAACTTTGACAGATGACAGCTTTTCCGAGTCAGAACCGTTTTTTTTTCGAAGGGAAAAAGAGAGCATGAGAGGCATTTAAGTACCTGGATTCATCGATCTCCGTTAATCATGCAGCCACTATTCGGTGAACGCGTGCCTGATGCCGGTGGCGGGATGTCACGGATTGGCCGTCACGACCGTGGAGGGTATCGGGAACTCCAGACGGGGCCTCCACGTCGTCCAAGAAAGACTGGCCAAATTCCATGGGTCTCAATGCGGGTTCTGCACACCGGGCATCGTCATGTCCATGTATACCCTGTTGAGAAACGACTCCTCGCCGTCTATCCATGACATGGACGAGTATCTGCAGGGTATGTTCTTTCTCTGCCTTTGTTTCGGGTTTCACGCTGTCACTCGTCCATGCAAATGTGTTGAATTTTGACGATAGAAAGAAATGAGTGAACATCACAGTATGATCAAGAAACCTCAGGGCAATGGCTCTAAATACTGGCATCTTCCATCATGACAGAACTGCTAACATTCACTTAGAAAATTTTCTCGCTACAAAGTATGAGAGCAAGATTGAGGTAACAGCAAATTTTCAAAACTTTTTACATGTCAAGAATGATCCTTGTCTCTCATTCATCCAGCTGACGAAATCCTTCTGGAAAACGATCTGGCAGATGGCGTTTCCTGCATCGTGAGCCATCCTCTTCATAGCTTGCAAATTTCGGGTCTATTGGCGTACATAATCTCTGAAAAAATAAAAATAAAAAGGGAAATCGAGACGTAATATGTAAATGTATACGGCCATGCTGCTGCACCTAGCAGCATGCTAATCCACCTAGCACGAAAGTGGGCATCCAGCCATAGCTGGACCCGGATGTCGGCACGAGCAGGAACAACCATCACGGTGGTTCCATTGCGTTTGTTCTGTTGGTGGTTGCTGCTGGACTCTCGGCTGGACGCGGGGACGAAGGGAACATCGGTTCTTGGTAGCGAATTTCAGACTCGGGGACGCAATATTTTCTTCGACTTCCAAGTTATTCATCAGAGGCTTTACTTGCAAGACACACGAAGATAGGTTTTCAGAGGTTATAATTCCGGATCGATCTAACTGGAAATTCAATTTGCGCCTAAAGGTAAAACTTTTCCTGTTAGGAGATGCTGGAAACTTCTCACAACGATGAAGAGTAAAAAAAACCTACTGAATATTCCAAAAGCAAAAAAATGAAACGGCAATTCCAGGTGCATCATAAAGATCAAGGCTCAAGGACTCTGCATGCTATGTCTAAGCCTCCAAAGAAAAATATCAGTACTTTAAAGATGGAGCGTTCAATTTCTGATGTGAACTTTTTTAGGGAACCTCTGTCGGTGCACGGGATACAGACCGATAATCGAAGGGCTCAAGACCTTCACGTCAGAGTTCAAATGCTGCAAAGGTGAGAATGGAGGGGAATGCGCATGCATGAATAGCGCTGACACCACGACACCGGAAGAGGAAGAGCATCCTCGACTCGTTCAACCGAGCCACCTCGTCCCTTATGATCCTACTCAAGAACCCATTTTCCCTCCTGAACTAAAGGTACGTTTTCCAGAGAAAGAGAATATCGTACTGAGGGCGATCCAAAAGTTCCAAGGCACTACTAACGCTCTGAGACAATAGTAACATAAGTAATAGTAAGGCAATATTTATGCACTATCGCCAAATATGGTCTAACTCTGCCAGTAAACTTTCAATATGTCTGTGAAAAGGAAGGTAATATAATATAGGTAATATATAAGGTAATATATATATTATATAAGATAATATATAAGGTAATATAGTGAAAAGGAGGGTATTATAACTGAAAGTGCCTTTAGCTAAGAACATTTTGAACGCCCTTCTTACTTCCTTGTAGCCCTAAAACATTACCAAATGTAGGGATTTTGAAATGAAGTACCCGAGGAAGCAGGTTTTATACGACAACCCAACGTTTCTCTCTGTCTTTCACCATAGACTCCCAATGGAATCCTTATGGCATTTTAAATGTTTTGCTGGTTACGAGTGTGCATTAAAATATCTTTATATGATGAGGTTTCTCTTACCGAACGACAGTTGAATCCGAAGTACGAGACGGAGAACCTCGTTTTCAAAGGATCTCGTGTGACGTGGTATCGTCCGGCATCTCTCGACGAAATGCTGAGACTGAAAGCCACTCATCCGGAGGCCAGGATCATACACGGCAACACGGAAGTCGGTAAGCACGAATACGAATAAGACAGGATTCACGTCGAGCAGAATGAAGCAGATCCGTGTGTTCCGTCCATGAGCTTTGGAAATCAAGTTCAAGAATTGTAAGTATCCGGTGATGATCAGTCCGACGGCGGTGTCAGAACTGCATCAAGTGAAGGTTGCAGACAACGGGGTTAGATTTGGGGGTTCCGTGACTTTGACCACGATTCAGGAGACCCTTCAAAAGGAAATCGACTCTCGACCGGGTGAGGCTCGCAGGGAATCGTATTCTTCAAGTGGGTTATGTACGTATAATGAGTGATGTGTGACTATAGAGGGGGAGACGAAAGTATGGGTGGAGGTGGTGGAGATGTTGAGATGGTTCGCCGGTCGACAGATCCGAAATGTTTCATCCGTGGCCGGGAACATCGTGACCAGCAGCCCCATCTCCGACCTCAATCCTCTCTTTCAAGCCGTCCAGTCCCGCATCTTCCTTCAGAGCTCAGGTACAGTTGTTCCTCTATCAGAAATCTTCACATCCGACACAGGGCTTCCCTTACAAAACGTCCACCCCCTATCCACCTGGTTGTTTGACATGGTGGATAGGGGGTGGACGTTTTGTAAGGGTTCCGTCCCGGAGTCTCTCATGCTTACTTTTGACTCCTCTGTTCCACATGAAAGAGCTTATATTACGCGTGCATTGCATCCACCGCTCGCTCCTATTCATCATTCCTATATCATATGGCATCACGAAAGACGCCCTTCGCAATGATTTAAAGGAAAGATCAAATTTCTGTAGTTGTTGAATCCTCTGTTCGGGTTGGAGTGCATACNATGCTGGAATGTTCGTCCAATTCCATCCTGGGTCGAGAAAGGTCAAGGACATCCGTCTATCATTTGGTGGAATGGCTCCGTATACCGTCATGGCCACCAGGACCAGGAACGACCTCATCGGAAAGTAAGAGAAATCTCAAGTTTACACTGTTGAAAGAAGAGATCATACGGGATGATAAGTAGGGATTTCTTTGGCTTTAAGAGAATGGGACGAAGACTTGCTGGAGGAAGCTCTGGACCTGCTGAAGGAAGACCTGCCCTTGGACCCAGGCGCTCCTGGGGGTATGACCTGTTACCGCCAAAGTCTCACTCTTAGGCAAGTTTTCCTACATTTCCACTGGCGCATCTCCATCTCTTTTCACTTCGCATCATTTTCATATGGGTTCTTTTTTACTTTTTCCGCATCAGCTTCTTTTACAAGTTCTGGCTGGAAGGCTGTCGACACCTCGGTCTGAAACTGCCTCCTGGAACAGAGAGCGTTCTGGGGACATATCACAAAGACTTCCCCAAGGCCTCTCAGTATTTCCAAATAGTGAGCTATCTCAAACTAATAACGACTTTGCAGAATATACCTGAATGAAGAACACATGGAGATGACCTTTGTGCAGGTGCCAGGAGGGCAGCCAAAATGGGACGCAGTCGGGAGGCCAATGGTGGCCAAGTCCGCGTACCATCAGGCGACAGGGGAAGCCCAATTCGTGGACGACATACCTCCGCGGGAAAAGGAAGCGCATCTCGCTCTCGTTTTCAGTCGGCGAAGCCACGCCAAGTTGCTCCACGTGGATCCTAGCCCTGCTCTTGGCATCAAGGGTGTCATCGGATGGGTGGGGGAAGAAGATCTCCCTGGGGAAGCAAACTTCTTCGGGGAGGAAGTTCGCGATGAATCTGCCTTTCAAAGGGACAAGGTATCTGTTTGCAGAGGAGGGCATGGCACGGCTTGGCACCGGGTCTGCCTGCTCTTAGTCTGTGTCGATTGCTCGCTTTTTCTCTGCGTTCATGTCATTACACTTCCTGTCGTTCTGGATGTCTTACCGATTATGCTGAAAATCTGTTCCAGTCGGCCCACACCTAAGTATCATTAAAATTTTCCTTTACTGTTTGTTCCCTTCTCTTCTACAAGTTTCAGACGAAGATCCATCACCTCTTTTACGTTCGTGTAAAGCTGAGCTCTCCGGCTTCTCTCTACTTTCGACCGCGATCCCTAAGCAAGTTAACTAGCGAGGATCACACACGGAACAGAAAGAAAGTTACGTGCGATAAACTCATTTGGAACAGCGGGAATAAATTTTGATAATGCCACGTTTTGTCACGTGTGTCTCCCACGCTGATTCAAATGAGTCAGCGCCTAGCAGTCAAAATTCGCAACGTGTCGCTGTAGGATACCCGTTTACAAAAACTGGTGTAACTTGACCATTTTGGGTTTCATCCTATGACTGGAACGTTGGTACATTGCACAGGTTACCTTTTAAATATTAAACCGATGTAATCTTCAATACTGACTTTCTACGAATCACCTAATAAGAAGTAACGTCAACGCGTTACAATACTTCTCGCGTCGCTATCAGACTGAGCGCTGATTGGTTCCGAACAAGCGTGCATACCCTCATCTCTACCTCAGATGATACTGATTTTGATGTGCACTCTGACACTGGTCGACCATTTTTTGTTTGCTCAAAGGTGACGAGCGAGGGTCAAGTCATCGGTGGAATCTTGGCAGAAACGAGGGAGATAGCCAAGATCGCCGCCAGGTCCGTCCGAGTTGAGTACGAAGATCTGCAGCCTAGAATCATCACAATCGAGGTACAACCCTTACGTGCAGCAGTTATACACACCTCGTGAAACATGACACTGTTTTATCTGGCATTCGGGATGATACAATAAGGAGAAACTTCGCGGGATAGAAACCTTGCGCGGTACATAATCGCCCAGGTTAGGTGAAATCGCAAGATTTCCTTAGCGTGCCCGCGAATAAATGTGAAATGTCTCCACTATATACTTGAACCTACGTCTTGAATCCACAAGGTTTAGCTGTAATGAATTTGCACGGACTTGCAACGCGTCAACGTATCTTGTGATTATTGTTTATTGCAATGGTAAGCATACACACCCATGAATTCAAAACCAGGATTCAGCGTATGTCATCAAAATCTAAATTACTTTGATAGGGTTGTACGTGAATATTGATTCTCTGGAAGGTTCGAAACTCATCATAATTTTAATCTCATCGTATACAACAACTAATCATAAATCTCCTGACACTGTATTTGATCCTGACATGCACTACTTTATTTTGTACAATCTATGGTTCAACCGAAAACAAGTCATCACGTGTAACCGTTTAACAGATGCAACCCGCACACATATGTTGAGGAATTTCGAACGGCATTCGAATGGATCGCAGCTGGGAGGGCTCAGAAAAGATTGTTGGCCGTCCAGTGCATGTTTACTGGAATAAAAGTACAGGTACATCACGACTGAAGATTGCTGGAACCGGTTTGCCATTACGCAGGATGCGATAAAGGAACGAGAATTTTTCTGGGAGGAAGGGACTGAGAGTGGGGACGTGGATGAGGCTCTGTCCCAGGCCCCTCACGTCCTCGAAGGCCAGGTCAGAGTTGGAGGTCAGGAACATTTCTACTTGGAACCCCAGTGCAGCCTCGTCACGCCGTTGCAGGAGCACGATGAAGTCCTCGTCTACTCCTCCACCCAGGTATACCAAATGCAAAGGCATCAGGTTCCATCGAGGAATTGATTCCAGCGACGGCCTTGGATATAGAAGATGAAATTTATGGAAAAGATAGAGTAATTATGATTGTGAAAAAGTTAGTGAGTAATTTATTAAATGATTGCAACACAACGAGGAGGGTATTTGACGACCACGGTCGAACCAGTAGAGGCTGGGAACAGTCACATTTTTTCTCGCTCACAACCGTTGCAGAACCCGATGTACGTACAAAAATGCGTGGCACAAGTCCTGGGCGTGCCGTACAATCGAGTGATCGCCAAGGTGAAGAGAGTCGGCGGTGGATTCGGAGGGAAGGAGATGCGGAGTGTCCTTTACACCCTGCCGGCTGCTGTCGCTGCCCGAAAGTCTGTCTTTTGTATTTACTTTTGCATTGTATTTTAATTGTTTTAGTACATCATACTGGGGTGACAGGAAGTCCTTATTTATCATTTCCCGTTGCGCATTACAGAGCTTTAGCTGTTTAGCTGGAACTGCCGTGCTAACTCAGTCGGATTCTCGCAAGTTATTTTCCCAGGCAGAAAATCCTTTAATGCTATTTTTACAGCCGGTTTTTCTCTGCTGCGCCTGCCGTTACTTTGCATTAACGTAAGCGAGTTTTGACCCAGGTTCGGTCGGCCGGTGCGATGCGTCCTGGACAGGGACGAGGACATGCTGTCCTCGGGCGGACGCCATCCTTTCCTGGGCAGATACAAGGTCGGCTTCAGCCCCGACGGAAGGATACTTGCTCTCGATGTCACCTTGTACTCCAACGCCGGTTACAGCCCAGACCTTTCGATAGGCGTGAGTTGCACATTGACATTGAACCTTGCGATAGGAGGAAATATTGTGAACATGAGAATTTGGCTTCTTTTTTTAAATGTACTATATTCCGTAATAGCAGAGACAGAAATTCGGTGAATTTTCTACCAGAAGTCAAAACACATCAGAGGGTATATCACGATATCTTTCGTATAAATGGCAGTTTCACCTGTTGGAATTTTGCCCTGATATTCGCTAATGAAACTGTCTTCAATATGTTTGCCATCTAGATGCTCTGCAGAACGAGCTGTAATGAAGACATTTCAAGCCATTTTGATAGCTTTGCGCAGATGAAAAAATTAATTCATGGGTATATACAAATTTCTGGGTTGATGATTCAAATGCTGGGGAATACGAAAGTAAAAAGTGCAGCAGGACTTTAAGAGGGCAATGCTACCTATTTGAAGGAACAGGGACTATGACTGAATCCGCTCTGGGACGAACAACAAATTTTTCCCTTTCTTCTGCTGAAGGTGATGTTCCGATCGATGCACTGCGTGACGAACGCCTACCATATACCAAACGTAAGGGTCAGAGGCTACGTGTGCAGGACCAATCTCCCCTCCAACACGGCGTTTCGGGCGTTCGGGTCGCCCCAGGCCATGATGATTTGCGAGCAGTGGATGCAGGATGTCGCCGAGTTCCTCCGCCTGGACCCGGCCAAGGTTAGTTCGAGTGAATTCAACGCTTTTTGCGAATGGCACAATAATGTCATGTTTCTCTAAGTTAGAAAATCATGTGAAAGCATAAAAAAGTCATGAAAACTGAGCTGAGAAGCACTTATTCAAAACAACTTTTAAAAGTTTCAAAATAAATTTTAAAAATTCGTATCACTTGCAGGCGACGCCCCTGACAGTCGCTGAAAGAAACCATCTGAACAGCCGGTTTTTTATTCTCTGGGCACCCAAGGGTGTCTCGTGAAGGTAGAACCGCTGAAAGGTAACCTTGGAGAACCCAGTCTTGATCACGGACTCATAGGGTTTCGTATCCAGCCGGCAGCCGTCGTTGATCCTGGGGAAATAGGTCCAACTGGCAAATTTCTGAGCCACAAAGGCAAAACTCCAGAATCTGTCTTGCACGTGGTCCCAAAAGTAGAATTTCCCGTTCGGCGCCAGGATTCGCTTGATCTCCTGCAGCATTTTCATGCGGGTCTTCTCGGTGAGGCTGCACATCATCATGAAGGCGATGACGACGTCCATGCTCTCATCTTGGATCACGTCCGAGGCCAGGTCTTCCCCTCGACCAACGATCCAGTCTTCCAATGTGATCCCGGAGCGATTCTTCCGCAGGGATTCTTGAAGATATGGGCCGAATTCCTTGTTGGGTTCCACCACAGTCAGCAGGCAATTCTTGGGGTAGTACTTGACGTTGAAGGCGCTTCCGACCCCCACCTCCAAGACGCGGAAGAGGCCGCGATTCCGCAAGTCCACGTCGTCCGACTCCACCTCGTCTAAGGAGGCGAAGAAATCCCGCTTCTGATCTTCGCTGTAAGTGTCGTAGACGGCGGCAAACTCCGAGAACACTTTAGCATGAAACGCAGGGGAAGAGTTGGCCCGCGGAAGAAACCAGGACAGAAGCTTTGAGACGACGGCGGACACCAACAGAGCCGGGATGACCCAGTAAACGAGCGCATCCTTAGCCTCCGTGTCCCACGACGCCATTCCATGAACGGAAGCGAAGGAGCAACTGAGGCCTGTGCACGAGCAAGCATGCGTCGTCTCCCGCGCATGCGCACTAGGGTCCTTGAACCCGCGACGGCTCCATGAGTCAGCCGATAAGAGAAAAGCCCCCTCAGCGAAGCTCGCTCGGTTCATTGACCTCCCTCAAACGCAGCTGAGGTTAAGGTTTAACTGTGAGGCCGAGTGGGCCCACCCTCTCCAGTGTGCTGCATATTAGGTTCTCTCTTTCATCACGCACAATGGAGACTGACGTCATCGAGCGGTCCAAACTTTGCTTCTAATAGAGTAAAATATGAAATACTTCTTTATAAAAAGTATAAAATATGAATCGAAGGGGCAAGGGGCAAGAACGCAGCTGCTAATGCTCGTGAATGGAGCGAATTCCGTGATGGCAATTAACTGTTCTTTGGTGGGAAAGAATCAGCGGTAAACGTAGTACAGATGCTTTCCTATCGACACGCCCAAGCGGCTGAATATGTCGAATAAGGGCGAACGTTCGAAAATTTCGAGTGACCATTCACCGTTGGCGAAGACCTGCCGTGCTGCTCGAAATCTCGATAAATATGCGAGCAGCAGCTATGCTTCGCATCGACGAATGCGTGGCGAGCTAGGTGGGCTTTTCGCTTTTAGAAAGCAATGTTTTTCCAGAAACATATGGAAATTTTCCCATGACTTGCTCCTTGCAACATTACAGAATGATGCTTTTGATGCAGTATGTCGGCGTTGGAGAGAAATTAAAAAATAAAAATGTGTGGCGGGTTTCTGCGCACTCCGTACAGGATATCCCAGAATTCCTGTCCCGTTTTTTGTTTTCTTAGCAAAAACCAAGGATGCAGGGTGTAGGGCAGTGGTCCTCAACCCGCTGCCCGCGGACAAAAAGTGGCCCGCGAGGCCCTAACCCACAATAAATACCCATAGGTTTCCTTAAATAGTCTCCTACGATACTAGTGACTGGCCCGCGATGGCTGCGGGAGTGAGTTATTGGCCCCCTAGCCGAAAAGGTTGGGCACCACTGGTGCAGGGCATCCTCATAACAAAAACAGCAAGCAGCGTTAAATTTATCTGTCGAAAGAAAAACATGAATTATCAATGCCTAAATGAGAGAATTATTCGCTAAGAAATCAAAAAGATAGAAATGTGGCAGGAATCCTGGGACATCCTGAACAATACAAGTACTGTAAACATTACCGTACGTGCCGTATAGCATGAACTGCGGTATGTGTCATTTAGTACTGCGATACCGCTCTATCTGTTTACAGAAGAATGCGTTGTGCCGGAGAAGATAACTATGGCCTTCCTTCGGCCCGAGTGGTATCACGAAGAGATATAAACCGAGAGAATATAGCCCTTTTTTTCAACGGGAAGAAAAATGTGTTAATTTTGGACATTTCAGGTGCGAGAGAAGAACCTGTTCAAAGAGGGAGACCAGAACCACGTGACCAAAATCCTCACCCACTGCACCGTTCGGAGATGCTGGGAAGAATGCGTAAAGAATTCCGATTTCTTCTACCGGCGAGAACTCGTTCAGAAATTCAACAGGTCGGCCGTCGTCTCTTGTGTAAACTCTTGCGTGCGTCTTAAAAGCCCCCGGGCATTGATCCGGTCGATAACGCAGCGAGAATCGGTGGAAGAAGCGGGGGATTGCCGTGATCCCGACGGCATACGGGATGGCGTTCGGAATTCGAGTCTTGAATCAAGGTGGAGCGCTGGTTCACATCTACACTGACGGCTCCGTCCTCCTCAGTCACGGCGGGGTGGAGATGGGGCAGGGACTCCACACCAAGATGATCCAGGTCGTCGAACGTTCGAATCTGCTGGCGGGATGAAGTGACTGCTGAGGCAACATAAATCAAAAAGGAAAAACCTAATTTTTTCTCTGTGCATAAGAAATTACCTACTCGAGGTAGAGAGATAGCCATGAATGAAAGGTCAAGACGAAGAAAGGCTAGATTGTAATACAGAATTTTAGAAAACAGATATTCTTAACATTGGAAATTTGATCATTTCCCCACGTTTGGAAAATCGACAATATTTTATGAATATGCAAAAAATTTTTTGAAGCTATGTATCAATATTTCTTGGATTGTTGTATTAAATTTCAAAGCCTTAATTTTTTTCGAGCTCATTTATTCATTTTACAGTCAATTTTATTGAGTTGCTGCGAGTCTTTGAAATGATTTATTCTTGCAGTCCAGGGTTTTCGTAAATTATTGAATGGCTTTTTTTAAAAGCATATCTTGAAAACTATTGGGAAAAATTCGATGGGGTTTGCAGCAGACACTAGCAAAACATTACACTTTTTTTTACAGTTTAAACTTATCTTTAGTAAACTCCAATATGAGCGCCATTTGTAGCTCTGCACACATCCAGGCGACATTCTATCTCTTTTCTCAAGCATTTCTGCCATGATTATTAAAACATCTTATTCTCTTTTTTTTTTCTCTTGGAAAACATCCAAGCTTGTTACTTTCGTCTTGTTGCACAATCTCATGGCTCTCTTCCTTGTGTAGCACTTTCTCAGTTTCTTGAAACAGTTTTTTGGAATCTTCTAGTCGAATTGTCTCTCGGATTCTTCTTGAAAAACTTGCTCAACGTTGCGTTGAACGAGAACCACCAATTCGCTATTCCGCAAATCACAAAATGCGTCGAGCACGGCAGTCATAACTCGATCGGCTGATGCAAGAAACCTCTCCTTATCCTTATCTCGAAATCTCTCTTCCTCTGCCTCAGTCGCGCAAGCGCCAAACGTAAATCTAAGAAAATTGGAACGTTTAACGGTCGACTGCCGCAAATCCGATCAATTTTCTCCTAGTCATTTTCAAGGTCCAAATTGTTAAACCCCCTTCGACGATTTATCAACACCCTGTATTATAGATACAGGCATAAACTCATGCTTCACTGAATGCTCCTCTGTTAGGATAGACTTGTGATCAGTAATGAAGGTATTCTCATGTTTAGGTAGCGAGTCGGGCGTTAGGCTTGCCGGTGTCGTACTTCCATACGATCGAGACTTCCACAGACACGGTGCCCAATAGCAGCCCCACGGCTGGCTCCATGGGATCCGACCTAAACGGAGCCGCCGTCGTAGTACGCCTTTCTGGCCTCATCCTATCCGGAGATGAGTTGGATCTTTGAACGTTGATGGGTCGCTGGTGCGTTCACCCTGTAGGTGGCATGCGAGACGCTGAAGCAGAGGCTGGAGCCCTTCATGAGGGAAAACCCAAAGGGGAGCTGGGAGGACTGGGTGAAGGCCGCCTACTTCAACAGGGTCAGCCTCTCTGCCACTGGATTCTATCGGTCAGCCCTTCTGCCTATTTCTCTTGCGCTTAACCTGCTTTCGCGAGATGCTTATCAATGGCTGGCAAGGAGATGCCAGCAATCGTCGCTCAAATTGTGACCACTTATTTATTTAAGAGCTCAGACAATGATTTGTATTATTCTACGGCGCGTACACTTATTCCGGTGCGTTCGAGTTCGACAAGGAACGGACAACAAAAGCCATTTAGCATTTAGCTCAGAATCCTGTTCGTTTGACGGCCCCTATATTAATTTCGCACAACTCGCAGTGCATTTGTACTTGAGTACAATCAGAAAAATCGGTGAATCGAAATGGTAACCTTCGTTCAAGTTTCGTCGTTCGATATTTTTTTTTTCAAGAGCTAAAGGCATCAACTGGAATTCCGATTCATATTCTCTCTTCCCGACCGTGCCGGGTCGCCTAAAAGGCGTCTGCAAAACCAAAATGTGTCTATAACCGAGGTGAAAGGGGAGGTTTGAGTGGCCTTGCATTTTCGCAGGGTCTTTGAAAGTGCTCAGTATGTATGTTGAATTCGCCATATTCTGAGGTCTAATAATTTGTGAATCCTTGCTTCATCCCCCTCACTTATTCTCCTCATTCTCCTTAATTCTTTTCCTTTGGGTCCAGAACCCCAGCGACGTTTAACAATTGGAAGAAGGGTGACGCTTTCCCATATTATTCTTACGGAGCGGCCTGCTCGGAGGTAGAGGTCGACTGTCTAACCGGAGATCACAAGGTAAAAGGACTGCCTCCAGCTGTTCGTTCAAGGAAAAAGCAAGTCATTCAAAAGCATGAATTAGGTGCTGAGGACGGATATCGTGATGGACGTGGGGGAGAGCCTGAACCCTGCCATAGACATTGGACAGGTGGAAGGAGCCTTTATTCATGGATATGGGTTATTTCTCCTTGAGGAAGTGCTATACTCACCCGAGGGCAAGATCCTGACCCAAGGACCTTCCACCTATAAGATCCCTGGGTTCGGGGACATCCCCGAGGAGTTCAATGTCTCCCTGCTCAAAGGAAGCCCCAACATCCACGCCGTCTATTCCTCCAAGGCAAGGCTTTCATTCCTTCTCTTCCTTTCTCTCTCAATGCAATCATCAGTGTGATAACCATTTAGGAGTTTGAAAATATGGACTAAGCTTAACGCGTGAAGTCGTCCATTCATAGTAAATTCTAATTATTTTCCTGCGAAAAAAATCTAAGGAATCATAGAATCGGAGAATATCAATCTTTCACTTCAAGTTCGTGTAGACAACCTTTGAAGAAGCTGTAAGGTCCATACTCGCCCGTACATTTGATTGCACTAAGTGTCCTTTCCATTTGCGCTCGAGTGGAGTTTAAAGTAAACCCCAGAGGGTCTGAACAAAATTAATGTTAGCTTCTTGCAGCTTCAGGTCATCTTCTCCCTATTAATTGGAATATGAAACCTCCGGCAACCAACTGAGCCAACCACTGGTGGGGACTTGTCGATTAACCTGTCCCACATGAATTTGGAATACGATTTGAAACTTGGAGCAAAGTTCCACATGTATTGAAACAGAGGAATTTCTTTCCACAACGTTCTGTGATCATGAGAAAAGTTTGAAATCCACAGCAAACTGAATGGTCAGATATCTTTTTTATTTCTCTCGGCGAATCGAAACACATTCTATGGATGACGTGCTTGAATAGAATAGGATCACGCGGGCCATGAGACCCCACATCCAGATTTATAGCATTTCCACCCTCATAATTACAAGTAATGCTGGTCTCTGAACATATGTAATTCCAACGCGTTTTGATCAACATTGCTGAGGAAGAAAATCGGCATGAGCCCCAGTAAGGAGTCACTTTACCCCCGAGAGGCACTATTCAACAATCGCCATCAGTCAATGACTCAAAATTTGGCATTAGTTTTCAATGCGATCTTTGTGCTTTGTGAAGGGTATCGGAGAGCCTCCCCTGTTCCTGTCGGCCAGCATCTTCTTCGCGGTGAAGGAAGCCATCGCGTCTGCCAGGCAGGAAAGGAACTTGTCGAGGATTTTCAAACTAGACACCCCCGCCACAGCCGAAAGGATCCGAATGGCCTGCCAGGATCAATTCACTGACAAGGTCTGTCACAGCTCTGCATTTTTCATCCCAGAATTCACTCTGTGTCGTCTTTTCCCCTTTATTTACACGCTAATTTTCATTATATTAGAATTTTATTTCTGTTTTCTATTTTTTTTTTCCTAATGAAATACCTACGAGGTCTGCTTTTCATGTTCTGATATTTTAGTTCGAAGAAGAGGAACCGGGAACTTTCAAGCCTTGGTCCATTCAAGTTTGATGAGAATGCCTCCTCTTTTTGGCCCTTCGTCGACATTGAACCATGTCTACTTTGCCTTCAGTCATTGCCATTTTTTTGCATCTGTTCACTTAATGACCTATCATGTATGTAAATGTACATATATTCGGGTGTATGTACTTGTGTGGCTGTTTATTGCCTCGTTTCGGCTCGTCCAAGTCCAAACCAAACTCATACCTCAAAAAAACATACAATAGGAAAATGAGGAAACCGAATGATTGCCCTTGCCGGTCCACCCGGAACGGTGTTGTAATAATCCCGAAATAATATTCACTCTTCAGCCATTGAAAAAAAAACTTCACCTAGATCGAAAGGAACTTGCAGTCGCACACTGACATCGGGGAATCCCTTTCAAATCCGCCATTCAGAAAAATATGTTCGCCTTTTGCTTTAAAAAACCTAATCTTGGAACTATTTGCTGGTTCTACTGGAAAACTTCTATGAAACAACATATGAAGATTTTATGTCGCACCATGATGGAGGGTGACGAGGAGATCTCTTGGATTGCCTGAGTTCTCAAAAGAGCCAGTAAACGTGGCTTTGCTTGTAGTGCTAATTGGTGTTATCTTGAACCATTTTCCTCCTTCGATTGTTGTATTCAGAACAATTTCTTTTTAATAGAGACTAAGGGAAGATTTTAATTGACCAACTGGAAACATAATTTTATTATATAATTCCAGTTTTAATTCTAGTCGATTACGTCAAGGAGTAGCAGCAGTTGAAAGGAACACTTTCTTGCCCTTGGTACGTCTGGTAAAATGTTTTCAAGTTTTCTCGCTAGAGGAAAATGGTGGGAGTGGTCTAAATGGCTCTATTTCGTACACCCTTTAAACCTGTGCGGGTTCGCTCACATTGTGAGTGTACATTATGAGACTGCCAAATTCCCTGAAACTGGATGAGCATTTGCATTAACGGAACAGTGACCATCGTGCTCATTGCAGAGAGCTATTAATATTTCCCTACACGGAACCCGAACCAAAAAAAAAAGAATCGAAAAAAGTAAAAAGCGTGAATGGGACAGAAGGTGTCTGTTCGATTCCACCAACCGCCCTCCTCGATCAATTACCCCACCGCCTACTTCAACTGCCCATTCTATGCCATGGTCAACTGACGATAAGTGCTACCTTATAGAAAGTTTCCTGATTGAGAAAGCCTCTGATTTTAACCCTTTCGTGCATGGTGTCCTCTGTAGTGAACGGCAAAATTTTTGGCGATAATTATGAGTTTTCAGTCATGGTAATCATACCTCGAAACTTTTGGTGCGTGCAGTCAACTCAAAGGCACATAATCTGTTCAGTGTTGCTTTCTAGCAGTAGAACATTCGACTACTACGTCAGAGTACCACCTTAAACGTTAAACCATAAATGGCATATTTTTGTTTTCCTTTAAAAGTTCATGCACGAAAGGGTATGAATCCCCCCTCCTCTTCCTCCCGCCTCCTATCTCCCATGTAATTTTTGTTCGCAGGCGTGGACTTGGACTCAATCGCATGTGAAGTCATCTGTCCTTGAGCCAAGCGGTTGTGTAAAAGCACCTTGGAAATGGATCCGTCGATTTAATATTAAAAAAACCGATACAATGTCATTATAACAACTGATCTCAATCGGTTTCTACCGCCACAGGCATGTGAGGAGGAGGGGGATCAGAATATGACGTTTGCCATCGCGACTACTTCGACATGTATTGACATTGCCGGCATCACATCCGAACCTTCCAAGTCTTAATGGTGGGAAAAAGTCATGGAATCGTCATACACGAACATAGGAGAGTAACTCTCACGTGAAAGCGAGGGGACAGGTTTTCCCCAACTTCATTTCCTGTGTGGCTCTTTGAAGTATATCTATAAACGGCATTGTTTACCCATCGACCCCATCTCGAGTCAACTTCCGGAAATCCGCGTCTCGACAAAACCCTTGTAATCACTTTTTAATGCATCTCCCTCCTTATTGCATGGTGAGCCGTTGCTACTTTTCTAATATAGGGTCCGTTATAATGCTCAATTCGTCCAAAGAAGAAAGGCTAAGTGTCTATAACATCCTCAGATCCAAAAAAAATAACCCGTAGGATTTGACTCGTCCACATGCCAAATGCCAATTTTTTTTTTCACAAATTCTCTTCACAACCTTGCTTTTGATCCGATATGCCTGAATATGCCTGCTTTGACAAACGATGTATCCGCAAATAGCCCTCGTCGAGAACTATCTAAACGTACAATTTAAAACAGGTTTATCAATTATAGTAACGCAATAGCTGTCACAAAAGATGATCCTCATAATGATCATACGCCATGAAAGGGTTAAAAAGCTAAATTCATCAACGTAACCCTCGTTTCTTCGATTAATGAGTGAAGATACTTCCCATGGCGTCCTCTTTCCACGCCTCTCCCCTGGCACATGCGACAAAACACGCCAATGTTTATGAGAAACCAGAAAGAGATGTTCCTCCATTCCTCCCCCCCCCCCCCCCCCCCCCCCCCCCCCCCTCTCCCCCAAGCTCAGGAGACTCGGCGCTCTCATGCCCCAGGCCATCTCCGTCAGTGAATGAGTTCCAGACTCTCTCTTCCTCGTCCTAAAATTGTTGTTGAAAGAAAGTCACTATTTTCCCGCATCACCCGTTATAACTGGCTAAATAATAATTCCTAATATTAAAAAAAATCGTTTCCTCGACCAAAAATAATTGTAACTGCAGGTACAGGACAGGTTTATTTGGGTTGGCACTACGCATCGTTGTCTCCATACCACCGTTTACGGTGTCGTCGAAAAGCTGTCTGAAGGAGGATTATCGGGATCGAAATTGGCAGATCCCCCAGGTGTCGTATTTTCGTCGGTAGGGACATGGAAAGGAAAGAATCCTTTCCATGAAATGTCGCCCTTTCAAAGAAAGGGCGACAACCCCTCCCCCCTTCTATTTTCTCACTCGATATAATCGGCGTTCCTCCTTGCCAAGAAAACCTGCGGTCCCGGGGTCTGTTTTTTTTTTTAACTTCATCCCACCCTTTCCCGAGAAATCGACGGGACAGAACGAGTGGATAAAAGAAAAATAGGAACCACGCGCACAAGTAAACATCCCATTTAGAAAAGAAATAAACGGAAGGTCAACGCTCGATTCGTTTGGCTCCTTCACAATTACCCGGTCTAAGTATCCTTTTCGATCACGATCGAAACATCTGATAACTCGATCGTCATAACTTAGATAATAACTGACGTCACGCCGCCATAGGTCCCCCTGTCGTCTAAGATGGCTTCCTACTAAACTGTCATATATCCCATGTGTCTTTCGTGAACAGCTGCTCGTGAACACGTGAACAGTTGCTCTATTGTATACTTCACGCGATATTCATCGCGAGGTTCATAATTAATACTGTAAAATAAAACGGAAGCGAGGACGAAATGCAGTTACCTCTGGCCCTTCTCCAGGCTCTCAAAAACCGGATATCCAGATGGCTTCGCTCTCCACTTTTTCTTCACTTGCCACCTCATGATCTCATGAGAGCTGCTGTTTCGCCAATCCAGAAGAAACGCCTTACATAAGACCTAGGACCATCACAGCTCTCTTTCACCTTCATTACCTTTTCACAAGAAATGATAGAATCATCCATCATTTCGATCGATCGTGATCGAAAAATATACTTAGATCGGGCAAATCACAGGCGACATCCATCTACAGACGGGATTCCGAGAAACGCCGGAGGAGAATTTTCTTCTCGAGGTCACGCGGCCCTGAAAAGTGAAACATTCCTGAAATCCTCCCCCATTCATTCCACGCCTTACAACTCCTTTCCGAGATATTTGATTTCTCATACCTTCACCCACCCCCCCCCCCCCCTCCCCCCCCCCCCCCCCCCCTCTCCCCCAAGCTCAGGAGACTCGGCGCTCTCATGCCCCAGGCCATCTCCGTCAGTGAATGAGTTCCAGACTCTCTCTTCCTCGTCCTTCCTTTCTGTTCATCCGATCGACTCGGGGCTGCACCGCTCGCTTCGTCTGGAAGGAGAAATGGTGAATCCGACTATGAATACCCTCGTCTTCTACGTCAATGGAGTCAGGGTGAGTCCCTTCAAAGAAAATTCATTCTCTTGGGAAGGACTTTGATTTTGGAATTTCATCTTCATCGGCTATCGTTCGCATTTTAGGTCGAGGACGATGATTTTGAACCTGAGTTCAGTCTAATGGATTACCTCAGGAGAAAGCGTATCCTTTTTTATTTGTGAACTTCACTCAATCGTGCACTTTTTGCCCTTTTTTGTATGTTAGATTATTGTGTTACCGAGGAAAAAGATAGCTTGACAGAATCCTTTAAAGAAAAAGGCATCTAACTATTTATGTTAGGAATTTACGCTTAAATTCAACCTTCGATCAAATATCGAGTTTTCACAAGCACTCCGCTATTACGTAGTAGGTTCAAAAAGAGTCCGGACTGTGAGGACTGTGCCCAGACTAAGCAGTCCAGAACATATCGTCGGAAGCGATGTGGAGTTTGATATCTACTTTATGCACTTCTCGCATGCGAAGTCTCTGGAACGCGCCTAAAGGCTTCTAGATCCCACCACGTACAAAGTATCAAGTGTCATCTGTCGCTCTGATGTCTGACAGTGAAAATGTCACGATTCGAGCAGCTTGCGAATGTCAAATTTTGAAGAAAAAAAAAAGAGGAAGAAATTTTACAGAGATCCTCACACTGTCGAATGAAGCGTACATGGAACGATGCGACATGAAGGTCCCAGGCGTTCGAGTGCTACCGACGCTTCGAGGAGGGGCGGGATTTCCTTCCCAACGACGCACCCGCTCACCGGACGCTGGTGGTGACGTAGTACTTCGCAGACATGGGAATAACTGTCCTGCCGCATTCGCCTCACTCGCCAGATCTCTCTCCGTGCGATTTCTATCTGTTCCCGAGGAAGAAGAATCCTCTGAAAGGAAGACGATTTTCCAGCGTCGATTAAATGATGAATGCTGCGACGGCCGCGCTCAAGGAGGTCAAAACAAATGGATTCGCTCTTTGTTTCAAAGAACTGGACACGCGCTGGCGAAAGTGTGTGAATAACTAGCGCCATTACTTTGAAGGAAACACCAACTAAATTGTTCCAACTATGATCAGTGATGCGAACCAAACCCGGTCCGAAAACTCTTTGGAATCTACTACGTAAGACCAGGGTCTTATACAGTATAACCAGTTTCATCATAGGGGAAAATGCATAATAAACTTCGTTGGACTCAGATGCGTAGTGATTGGTAACTTGTCGAATCCTTGGGAGCACGACACTGTACAGGATCAGAGAATTCGCATTTCTCCTCCTGAAGCAAAGGCCGACAGGCAGGAATTAATCTAGACGAAGCTAGGCAGACCACAGTCGACCATGATGAAAGAACCGTCAATGCCACTTATCCCAGTTATTGATTGACCTTGATATTTCTCTCGCGTTGGGGCCAGGCAGTGGGGCTCCGAGGCACGAAACTGGCATGCGGAGAAGGTGGATGCGGCGCTTGCACTGTCATGCTGTCTAAATACCATCGTTCAACCGGATCCATCAGGTTATCCTCTTCTCTCACCTCTTACCACTCACACGCTCTGACCGACCTTTGTGAGGGATTTATATTTTACCAGGGCCTTACCGAAACGAGTGTCAAAAGTTTTATTCCTCTGACCGCATACTGTAGTGCGAATCTGTCATGTGGCGATTTCAATGATTTATTTTTCTCACGTTAACGGCCTTGGACACCCTGAAGCAGAAATATATACATTTGATCCCTCGGGAAGATAAACAGTGAAGCATCAATATACAGTATTAATATTCGATGTTTCTCTGTATGTTCTCCTGTCCCCCAGAGGCCGGCGCGGGTGGTTTTTTCAGTCCGCGTCCCTGCCCGATCGGCCCTATTTGAATCGTGGTCCCACCCAACCCAAAACTGGGTCGCCGCACCGAGCTGAACGGACTAGACCTGCGGCTCGTGTCAGGACCAGCCCGCAGTCCAGTTAGACCTCTAAGCTTCAGAACTCGAGGACTTCAGAACTGGAGTCTGGTTCTCTTGAAATCCTTCCAATGCGCAGAGCACGCAGAAACTGGAATTTTCAGCACCGTATTGAACTTCCATACATGTCCACAGATACAAGAAGATCAGTTATACAGGTTCTTTCTCGAAGCCTCCTGAAGTTTGATAGGATCTTACAGTTTCATCTTGACATCACAGGTCTAAGCAGAAACGAACAAGAATCGATTTCTTAGTATGATCGCAATCGTCGAAAAATTCATCAGTTTGATGATGAAAGCATATGTTTATTGTGAGCTCATGCAAATTTGGTGATATTCGCACTTGTAATGGTACAAACAAATTTGGTGAAATAAAAAATAAGACTTTGTTGGCTGACTCCAATCTGGAGAAGATTTATTTGTTAAGATTGATTTATTTGGAAGATTTATCTGTTGATGGAGTCATTATTTTGTGACGAGTCCAGTATTTAGCCGCGATTGCTATTGACCCTGCATTATACCAGGAGCCACATTTGAACTGCCCGGGAACAGAGGTTTGGCCTTCTCTGCACTATGAGCTAAAGCTTAAAACTGATAAGAAAGTTGTATATTTCACTCCACTCATGTGCCTTGAGGCTTCCTCCAGAGTTTGTACACGTTCATCTACTTTCCTTTCCATATTCTCTCTTTGTCGCTTTCTCTAAAATGTCAACTTAGATGAATCATGTTCCTCATTGATTTTCATCAGTGCCAAACAGCTAACAGAATTTCCGAAGCTACATACAGGTAGTATGAAAACATTAAAACATGCAGGCTAGCAAAGGAGCAAGCAAAAAAAGTCAATCCCGTCCACTGACGTCTTGGGTACCATAAGAGAGATCTCGGCAAGAAATGTAAATTTTACATGGGTTCGACACTATCGATACGTGAAGTCGTTTTACAGAAGGAAAAAATTATAAAGTAGAGAACAGCAAGCAAGCCATCTGGCATATTCGAGCAAAGGAATGGTTTGAAAAGGAATGGAATATCAATGGACGCAATTGGAGACGAGGCCGTGGGGTTTTGGGCATATTCCCGTGCAAGTCGAAAGAAAGAGCATTCGTCGGTCTAACTTAATTGGAGACCCATTTAACGTGCAGCCACTATTCGGTGAACGCGTGCCTGATGCCGGTGGCGGGATGTCACGGATTGGCTGTCACGACCGTGGAGGGGATTGGCAACTCCAGACGGGGCCTCCACGCTGTCCAAGAGAGACTGGCCAAATTCCATGGGTCTCAATGCGGGTTCTGCACACCGCCGTAGCAGTACAGGTACATGCGAGACGACTCTTTGTTAAACTTCGGAAGGTAGGTACTTTACCTGCTTATAGATGTTCCAAACGGTCTTAACCGAGAAGAAACAAGTATGGGTCGACGATAGTTGAACTTTTTTTAGTTGTTCGTACATCGTCAACTTGTATATTTAACATTTTCATGCATAAAGCATACTGATTCAAAAGTTTAAGAGATAGAGGTTATGTATATAAATCAACGACATATCCTCAGCATTGTGTACCAGCACCATAAATAAGATTTTTGATTGATGGTGCAAGAACAAACAGAAAATCTGATTGAAATCTGATTGAAAAATCTGATGAAAATCGAATTGAATATCGACGTTTATACAGGTCGTCAGATTTTTTAAAATTACTTGTATGAACGTTATATATTTATATTACTCGATAAATTTGAATCATGGACTTCATTTCTTAGTCTCCAACTTTTATTAAATTTTGTATTAATTACGAATTATTATAGGGAACCTTTGTCGGTGCACTGGATACAGGCCGATAATCGAGGGCCTCAAATCCTTCACGTCGGAGTTTCAGTGCTGCAAAGGTGAGAATGGAGGTGAATGCACATGCATGAACGGCGCTGATACCACGACACCAGAAGAGGAAGAGCATCCTCGACTCGTTCAACAGAGCCACCTTATCCCTTTCGATCCTACTCAAGAACCCATTTTCCCTCCCGAACTTCAGGCAGGTTTCAATCAAATGATTTTGGTTGTAAGAAGTTTCCATACCCATGAGAATTTGCATTCATGCAATCTCTTTTCGACCAAAAGCTGAATCCGAAGTACGAGGCTGACAGCCTTGTATTTAAAGGAACTCGCGTGACGTGGTATCGACCGGCATCCCTGGACGAAATGTTAAGATTGAAAACAGCATATCCAGAGGCCAGGATAGTTCATGGCAATACGGAAGTCGGTAAGCACGAGAACAATGACTATCGAATTCTAATTGAACGGAATGATACAGTAGTGTAAAATCCATCCATTAGCTCTGGAGATCAAGTTCAAAGATTGCAAGTATCCCATGATGATCAGTCCGACGGCAGTACAAGAACTGCACCAAATGCAGGTTCGGGATACTGGGGTTAAATTTGGGGGTTCCGTGACTTTGACCACGATCCAGGAGACCCTTCAAAAGGAAATCGACTCTCGACCAGGTGAGACTCTTTTCCAGATTATTCCATTTAGCCTCAAGATATGATGCATTTCATGGGATATGTCTCTAGAATGGGAGACGAAGGTGTGGGTGGAGGTAGTAGAGATGTTGAGATGGTTCGCCGGTCGCCAGATCCGGAATGTTTCATCCGTAGCTGGGAACATCGTGACCAGCAGCCCCATCTCCGACCTCAATCCCCTCTTTCAAGCCGTCCAGTCTCGCATCTTCCTTCAGAGTTCAGGTTTGGGTGGTCCTCAGGTCCCATCCACGACGCCATCGCTCTTCTCAAGTTTCCATTTACAGTAGAAGCCACAATTGACACATGCTCTCTTATTTGGGCTTTGTATTAATATAACTCCTAAGTAATATTTTAACTCTGCCGAAAAGGTTTGCGATGTACTAGTAATTAAAACTATCCTGTACGGCGAATATGAAAAGGCGACATCGTAACGGGAGATCAACCGCGATATGAAAGGACAAATGGTTCAATACTCTCAACGAGCAAGTGTTGCTAAATATAGTAAAGCATATTGAATCGTAGAAAAATTTACGGGAAAAGCTTATGGGATTCCCAAGTGATGGTGCGCAGAGCATTTTCTTGTACCTGTTCAGTATCGTATCGTACGCCATTTCATCATGTCAATTTTCCTTGCTTTTTCATTTGGGCGTTTGGAAAATGTTCTTTCTGGCTCTGCAAAGAGTCATGCGACATCATACATATTTATTCGATTTCACTACAAAGTACTTTGAATTTCGATGCTGATTTACATTAAAATTATACAAATTTCTTTACGTTTTTGCTGTTGGCGATGAAAATATAAAGTAGTTTTGGTTGCAGCCGAACTGCAATATTTTTTGCCCTCTCCTCCCATTAGCAGAAACATTATTCTCCATGGGATTTCAGAGGGTGGGAGAGAGGTGCAAATGGATGAGAACTTCTTTACGGGTTACCGGAGGAACATTATCCGACCGGAGGAGGTCCTGGTGTGGATCGAGATCCCTACCACGTCCCCTGATGTAGTATTCAAGCCTATGTTTGTCCGGGCCGCTTCTCTCCTGCTGTAGCGATAGCAGTTACGACCTTACAAGCAGGTTAAGGTAGGACCCAGCTCTTTCCAGTTCCTGTAGGCAGATAGTAAACCACCTTACCGAGGCAATACCGTCATGGCCACCAGGACCAGGAACGACCTCATCGGAAAGTA